GAACAGCTTAAAATCAGTTAATTATCATGCAAATTAGGTATTTAATATTCATAGATTTTTACCAAAAACAAATCAAATCTGCGCATTAGTTCAGAGCATCCATGTGCCAAGTTTCATCAAAATCCAATGAGTGGTTCTTCATATATCAGTGGAACAGTCATGGAACAGCTAAAAATCAGCTAATTATCATGCAAATTAGGTAATTAATATTTATAGATTTTTACCAAAACCTAATCAACTCTGCGCATTATCCCAGAGCATCTATGTACCAAGTTTCACCAAAATTTGATTAGTGGTTCTTGAGATAACGGTGGAACAAAAAAAGTGACATACATACATACATACATACATACATACAGACATACGGACATACAGACATACAGACATACAGACATACAGACAGGGTAACTGCAAAGACTCCCTTTTGTGCTTCGCACACACGTGAGTCAAAAATGGCGCCGTTGGTGAAAAGAAAAATTAAAGCTCTTTACTGATTGGCCCATCAGAGAAAACCCAGCTAATCATGTTAATCGTTACATATTACTCCAAACACTTTACCCACTTCGGATTTTACTATTGCACTGATGAAAAATGTCGCGAACATTCCGCATTGGAGACACCGGGAGTTGCAGCCGACAACAATGACCCAACAGCGTGTTTACTTCCGGTGAATGAACAAGATTTGTTTTCTTTTGAATCAAATCACACACATGTTTGAGAAATAGTGGATCCCATGTCAGTCGCCAGTCAGTTATATTTTATCAATATCAAATAACACCCAATAAGATTGTGTCTTGAGTTATGTACCAAGTTTAAGATAAATTCTGTCAAAGTGTATCTGAGAAATGTGTATAATGTCAATGTTAATGTGATCAGGGTTCTCCCCAAGAGACAGAGTGCTGGACGGTATGAATATTCATGAGCTCATTAATATGCATGAACTAATTAATATCCAAAATGGCCACAGGGAATGAGTGTTTCTTTCAACAGAAGTCAAAATACTTGCGAGAAGACAGCCTGGTCATATGCAGTTATATTTATTATACAGTATGGAACATTACATTACAACACAACACAACACAGGATAAATAATACACAAACAAATCATCTTTGAAGACATGATGCATAACAAATTGAAGGCACAAAATAATTACAACAGTTATAATATGAAATCATATTACTATTTGTTGATGTTAAATCTTTTTTTAAAACTAATGTTTTATGAAGTCAGCCAAAATAAAATAATGTTTCAAAAAAGTACTATAACTTATTTTCTGTATTTTTGTTTTGAGAAAAATCAATAGCTACTGGAAGTTTTGTTTGTATTTTTTGTTTTGTTTACGTGACAATATAAAATATATATTGTCGCACAAACATTCGGTTCAATCAGAATATTTGATCCAAGAAAAACGCAACTAATTTATTTCCTCCACATATGATGCGAGTTGAAAGCATGGTCGTTTTACCCGGGTTTTTAAATCGTGATTTAAAGAAAATTCAACTTTAAATAGTGACATTCGTCAAAATATAAACATTCACATTTTTAATCAAGCATTCGTCTGGACTTCTTGGTGATCAACAATGTCTGCGATGGTACATCGGCTGTGCTGGTCGTTTACCGATCATGCATGGCTGCCTTTGTTCTGCTCGGCGGTGATGATGTTGCCGCTACAAGTCATGGCGATAACTTGGTTTTAACTATTGACCTTATGTTTTGACGAATGGTTTTACTGATATTGATTTTATATATTTGACGTCACCCTGGCAGTATAAATATGGGTACGGTAATCCACTTTTCTATGCGTTACCGCCATGCTAAGTAGGGTTCCACACTTACTAGCGTTGATTGCCACTGGGCGTCTCACGTCGCTAACTCGTTGAGTTGAGTTTCACGCCTATTGTTTTTTTTAATTGGTGACACAACCCAAGCTTATTGCCTTCTCAAACATTCTTTTGTCTCTCAGAGCGTTTGTTGCGTCCTGGACAAAAACAATAGTGCCGGGGTAGCCATGTGTGCCGGTCGCTAATTCTGAGTGCCGGACAGCGCCGTCCACCATGGGGACAACCCTGTGTGATAATGTAAAGTTGAATGAAATCAGCGAATGCATGCCTGCAAAATTGTTGATTTTTGAAATCAAGGTTCATATTGTCATTTTCTATTTAGTACTACAGTGCCAAAGTTACAACAGTTTAATTAACATAATAATGACTGTTATGTCCATAGTGACATGATCAGTTCATTTAAGTAGTCTATTACTGAACTTTCAGCTCATGAATATTCTTGCATAAATTTGTATATAGCACAGGGTTGCTTAGAGTTCTGTGGGGATACCAGTCTGGAAACCACCGGTTTGATTTTGATCAGCTCCCTAATACAGTTGTAAAGTTTTATTGTGATCAGTCACTGTATGTCAGAGACGAGGCTCCAGAACAGCATTCATCTATTTTGAATTTGATCTGAGACAAACAATATGGTCCTGTAATATATGTTAAATGTATGTACCAAAACAAACAAGTCATTGTTAATGACAGTTCCTATTGCCAAAGATAAAGTAATATGACCAAAAAATTGCAAGATGCAAGTCTGTGTTTTATCTGATCACAAATTGAATTGTTATGGACATGTATTGCTGAATGCAAAATTGGATATGCAAATCACTGGTCATGTGACCAGGTACATTGTCTCTGATGGTCAATATTTGAGAGTGAATAAGGGACTAACCTAGAACAGGTGTATAACGAGAAATGAAAACTATACATTTCATTTTTATCATATTTGTTCACGTTTTGTATCTAAACTCAAGTAAAGTGCAGTAACAACTGCCAGTCAGACATTTCGATCCAACTGGATGAATGGACAAATGGAGAATGAAATATAATATAAAACTATATAAAAATAACAAGTCATCTGAAGATGACACAGTCCCCCACTTGTCAGATGTAATTATATTTGGCTATGAATTATAAGGTTTGAATGTATATGTATAAAATTGGATAGGAAGATTAAGTTGAAAATCAAAAGTATGTTACTCAAAGTTAACAGCTAGGACATCTCTATTAAATTTGGTAAAATGTGCATCAATTCTAACAAAAATTCACAATCTATTGAATATGGAAATTCAATTGAGTCAATATTTAATAGCAAATATATGAACAAGCTATTAACAAAAATTTTTAATTAATTAATTAAATATTCAAATTAGCTCATTAATTAAGTTGAAAGTCAATATTGCATAGCACACA